CGCCCGTGCTAGCCGCTGAACACAGTCCGCTGTCACTGGGCTGATTCCTTGGCACGACGCGCAGGGCCGCACCCTGCCATCAATCTTGAAAAAATGCCCTCGCACCGTCATCAGGGGCAGGGACAGCATGCCCAACGAAGCATCGTGCGGTCAAGTTCCTCCTCCCCCCTCTTGAGGCCTTGAACACCGGCACCTCAACCTTCTCTTGAACGCCCCATTTCTCCACCAACTCCTTCGCGGCGCTCTGCCTCAGATTGAAGCCTTCCCCGGCTCTTCCTCGAATGGCCATTCGAGGTCCGACAGCGACCACTCCTGCTCAATGCGCTTGTGTCGGACAAGGAGAAGGAGATCATGAGATCGACAGAGGCGAGCGGATTGCAATCATCGAGTTTCCGATTTGAACCTGTGACGGAGGAGCTGAAGGAGCGCATGGCCGAAAAGTCCTGGACGACAATTGAGGTGAACTCCATTGCGTTGGAACTCCGAGACCGCCTGTCCGGCTTGGTAGTCCACGTTGATGACATTAAGGGACGGCTCTGCAACGAAGGCCGCCTTTATGACCTCCTTCTTGGCCGCCATCAGCACATCGTCCACGTAGATCGACATAAAGCCCGTGCTTCGCGATGAGGTCGATCCCCTACACGCGGCTTCCAATCATCAGAGGTTTGGCTCCTCCGTGACCTCGAACTTCATGTCCCACTTCACCTCCTCGTCGTCCCAAACCCAGGTCATCTTCTTGAATGTTCTATCACGATGCAGGTGTCAAGGACCAATCTCTCATCGCTGCCATCTTTGCCAGGCTTCTGATCTGGGTGGCATCAGCTCCAGACGCATACGTGTCTTCGTGTGCAGCGCTGCTTCCGCACACCGCGCCACGGCCTTTCCTCGTCCCGTCTGGCGCTTTCCTTGCGCAAACTGCCTCCACCATACCCGGCAATTTCTTCCACCTTCATCTGCCTAAGCTTCACCTCCAGCTCATTCCTTTCTCGCACGTCCCTCACCACCGGGAGCCACCACTCCTGTCCTTCATTGA